GCATGGAGGGAGAGACGTGTTCTGATACGATGGGAACACCTTTCGAATGCCCAGGTCTCTCCTGCGACCGATTGCAGTACATGAAAAAGACTATGGCATTCGTATTGCTGTTGCTAGCCAGAGTTACATTGTAATACAACCTCACTGTGCCGTACGCAATGTGCAAAGTGAAGATCGTCTTAGAATGCGTCAGATTCCGGTATCCGGATAAACCAGATTGGAATGGCACTGCGGCGCAGACGCACAGGCGTCGAGGTCAGCGCGCTCAAGGCCCACTTTGAAGAGCCGTTCACGCCGGCGCACGATGAGTCCAAGCCACGACCCACAGCGCGAGCGCTCTGCAAGCACTGCGGCGCGTCGGTCACGTACTCGACGACGCGGCTCACGTCGCACCTCGGCGGTTGCATGGCCTACGACCGCCGCTCCTCGCCCAACGACCACAGCATGGCAGCGCCAGAGGCAAGCGGTATTGTCAGCGAACGTGGTACTGTCGCCAACAGTGGTGTCGTCCGCGAACGTGGGCTGCCTACGAGCCCCCCAGTCGACAGTCGAGCTTGGTGGCACGGTCGTCAGCGCTGCGTGCCAGTCTCGCAGCACTCCTGGGCACGTCTGAGCTTGACGCGACGCTACGGGACATGGCGACCGAGATGGACTCGATCGTAGCCGACGTCACTGTCAAGGAGAGCACGCTGTGTCTCCAGGAGGCACGTATCGACGCCCAAGTCCAACTGCTCACTGAGATCAAAGCTGACGCGCAACGCGAAAACGATCGCAGCCGCCGCGACGAGCCCGCGCCCAAGCGCCGCGCGGTGGCAACAAGCAACATCGTGACGCTCAACGTCGGCGGCACCCGCTTCATGACTGCAGACGATACGCTTCTCATGTGGGGCACCTACTTTGAGAATCTCTTGTCGTCGCCGCCCAACAGCGATGGTACGACATCAGCCTTTGTACGCGTCGTGGGGACAAGTTGTCTGCGATGATAGGCGAGTACTTTTTGGACTTGAACCCCGACCTGTTTCGTCGCGTAATCCGACTTCTTCGCACGGCCAACCCCCTCGACACGGAAGGACTCTCGAACACGGAGAAGTCAGAGGTGCAAGATATGCTCGACGATCTCGGAATCGAGTGGCCGCAACGATGAGCCTCGTTAGCCGACACGACCAGGCGACTGGAGCACCAACTAGTTTGAGAATACTATATCTGTACGACTATCAACACACACGAGAGATCGACTACGGTAGAGTTGCAGAATGCCTCTTGTGATTCAGCGCCACAATATATCGAGAGGCTCAACCTCAAGACGAGCCTAGTTATTTACTGCGACTAAAACGTGACGAGCGTAGACAGATGAACGTTTATGACCACGCGAGATGCCGGCGATTCGGTCCGAGCCGTTGATGCCGTAGCCGATCAAGCTACATCGCGATTGCCTGTCGGTGCCAGCGACGACGTTAGGCGTTGGCGTCGAGCGTTGTCACATTTCTTTCTCGAGCGGTTTTTCAGCTTCACGACTGGTTCGTCAGCTAGATAAACGTAAACCCAAACCTCGGCTCTTTTTCGAATGTCAGACAATGTCTGCCACCGACGCTAAAGTCGTCGCCATCAACGGCGGTGGTGGTCATACCCGTGGGAAGCGCTGGGACGGCAAGCCCTGCCTGTAGTTTTGCAGCTAATGTATAACTACAGTGGCATGCGCGTCAACTAAATGCACGGAGATTGTCTGCCACGACTTGGGGTAGACAGCGATTGGCCTTTTTGTGTGCCAAGAGTGAATGATGTTGCGACGAGGTTTAAAAACGATATTCGATAATGCTCATTATCATCTTGAAATACAATTCAAACGCATATAAACATGTTGATGTTGAATTTTATTTTTTGCGAAAGCAAGGATTTGATATCAATGAAAAAGCGCTCGCTAGCCAAGCCCATCACTCGGCCTTTTCCAGCAGAAGGAACTGCTGCAGAAGCAACTGCTGCACTGTCGACACGGTGGCACCAGTTTCCTGTTGCTAGTGTGTCGGTAGCTCACTTTGCAATTGACCATGTTTGGCTCGAGCTCCTCATCCAGCAGCTTCTACCCGCCGTCGCCCGCCTTTGGCCGACCCAAGTCGGCGGCAGTCACGCGCGTCGCCAGCATGACCTCCGACGCTGCCGCCCGCCGCTGGGCCAACGACAACGGCCTTGCGATCATGAACGTCTCGTGGGAAGACGCTGCGCGCAACAAGAACAGCGCGTACGGGCCGTGCATCTCGGACATGACGCTCGTCGTCGAGAACACGTGGATGCCCGTGCTGCGCGTGCCCAATTTTTCAGGTTCGTTTTCTCAATGTAGCAATCTCAAAACTCAAACTCAAAGTATTCGACGTAGATCCGATCATGAGCATCCCGACGAGCAAGATCATGGTGACAGTCGGGAACGAGTCGCCCCACAACGTGCCATTGACCAAGATCTCGCTCCACGAGTACCTCGACAACATCCACAAGTACACGGAGCTCGAGCGCAGCTTGTACGCGCCAGCGCACGACCACCAAGCCCTCGTACGTCTCTAGGATTCCAGGGACAAAAGCACTCATCTGTACTTGCAGGTCAGCACGCAGGCGTGTTTTTTGCCCATCGAAGAGGCGACCGGCAAGGCCGAGTTCCACGTCGGTCTCACCAACTACCAAGCCCGCGAGAACGACCCTGCCGTGCTCGTCCTCGTCTGCACAGACACTGGCACGAGGTACCTCCCATCTTCGACTCGAATCAAACCACTCACTTTTCTCTGACACTAGTGCCCAAGTCATGACGCAGCGCAGTGCGACCTTGTTTTGCAACAACAAGGGCAGCAAGCACACGTTCATTGCCGAGCGGCTCTCGACCGACCGCGCCAAGCGGGGCGTTGCAACCACGGGCGCCATGACGGAAGCCGAAGAGGCGCGCAACTACGTCATGATCATCCAGATCCCGCTCGAGCAAAAGCCGGTGTCGTTTGGCACTGGCGGCTTTGG